CGTGGTGCGGCGCGACAATGGCCGGGTGCAGCGCGGCGCGGCGCGAAAACGGCCCGGCGCGGCGCGGAAACGGCCGCGGACTACGCGGCAGGGCCGGAAAAACAGCCGCGGACCAGAAAATGGCCGCGGACCACGTGGCACGGGCGGAAAATGGCTCGCACCCCGAGGCGGAGTTTGCCAACCGAGGGAAAATTTTGGGGCCAGAGCTGGTCGTAACCCGAAAAATTCGCAAGCAGAGGCGTTCGTATCCCGAGGTATCACTGTAGTATACATTCAATCGTATCTTTGTCTTTCTTCTTTTATGTATTGTTTATGGTACTAAGGATAATGCCAGACTATATTTATTCTGTTATTCCAGTGTTTATAACATTATGAAAAATGAGGCTCCCGTTGGCAGATATAGACATTGGGAAGTGATCCCTCTGTTGGCTACATTTAGACTTCAAGAGATGTAGAATTTCCGCACTCCAATATTCCATCTCTTGTACTACGCGGCTTGCTAGCTCTGTGATGAAATGCTGGCTACTCCTATGAAATAAATTTGGTGATCTATATTTGGATAATTACAAAACTGTTCCATTCTAATAATGTGCTTGGCCTGCATCTCTATATGCACATGTACCAGATTTCAGCTTCAACTCTTTAATTGTTTGGGGTTGCAACTTAAAATCATTTAAAGAGAGAAATCATGTTTTTAGTTTTGTTTCTTGGTAATCAGGGTAGCTCAGATAGGATATTAGTTGACCAAGAAGTGCTCCTAATAAAAAAGCATGAACCAGGCAGTGTATTTTTCACACATAGTTGACTTTTTCTCAGCTTTAACCAAATTTAGTTTAATTGAGCTAACAAACTGATGTATTTTCACATTTCTTAGGTCAGTAATAAATGTATGCTGACAGCAGATCTTTGCAGCACAAAGATTTGTGGTATTTAAAAAGAGCGCTCTAAAGTAATTTTTAATAAAATATTAATTGTTTATCATTTTTAGTACCAATAGGATATACATAGACACCCAGAGTAAACACACAAAAACTGTGTGCACTAAATGGGCCCTTTTTTAAAAAAATAAAACATTCTAATTCCCATTCTAACCAGCTGCTTAATACATTTCTTCCACATTTCTTTCCTCCTTAACTGAATCGTGGGAACTTGCTTCTGAGCCAGCAGTGGTCTGAAGTGGCCAAGCTATTTATTTCTAAATAGAACCCCCCCTCCCCAGTCCCTTTCATTCTTCTCTAGGCACCAGTTGAATAGAGATGGTGCTTGGAAGAAGCACAGGTGGCAATATATTTATAAGGGACCTGAGGACAAACAAGCCATTGGTGTTCTAAATGAAGTATAGATGGACCTCATCCAATCATAACATGTATCTTAGTGTCAGACTACATAGCAGTAGTTTAATGGGATTAGGTTATACCAGTAATCCCAAAGGACAGGGATATGCAGAATGTTTTGACCTCAAAACAGCTGTTTTGATCCTAAGGTGAAATAAAACATGAGTTTTGAGAATTCCATTTTGAGGTTGGACATACTGCTTTGTTCCAAGCATGTAACTAATTCTGTTTCAGACAGCATCAGTCTGAGTGTTATCCCAGTTCCAAGCACTGTGATTGGGCTGTTCCTTTGTGGATTTGTTTAAGTTACCTTCCTTCCGTTTTCCTGTAGCCTGGATATTACAGAAACATGGTCCAATCACGTCCCTGCTGATTTTGGTTTAGACTGGATATGCTGATGCGTGAGTAGAATATTGAGATGGAAGAAGCAGTTAAATATATGGCCATACAGAAGAAGCAGACTGGTCACAGCTGCATGCCTGCCAGCTAGCAACATCTGTAATGAGTTTCAATGACACATGCATTATGATATCTTTGTATAAATGGCATGCTTGCATAGGGATATCTGATGCAAGTATGCAAGTTGAATTATTTGCATGATAATGTCATCACACTACCCATCCACTCTGGGACCCAGAGTATACCCACTGTGCCCAATTGTTGGAAATAGGCAGTCTCTCAGATAACCAGTCCCTATGCCATGAAGGGATTTTATGATTGCTAACAAGCACTTTGAATTGCATCCAGAAGGCCAACTGTAACCAGTGTAGCTCAGAGTGAATCTTCACAGGAGCAGGCAATTGTAGATGGAAAGCCACAGGGTTAACTTAATGTATATCTAGGAAGGGGCCAATCAACTATGAAGCCTGCTTCTTGGACAGGCAGGAGGAAGGTAAACATTTAATGGAAAGTCACATCAAATCCTCCAGCTCAATCTTTGCACCATCTTGCCTATTCAGTTTGTGGCATGTTTGGATACAGCCTTGGCCAAGTCCTAACTATTCCTTTAAGAAGAACGGAGCTGCCTGTCTCTCCTGCAGAAACTGAGAAGCTCAAGGAATAATTGAGGCAGAAGCTCTGGAGGACAAGAGGTAGGTGGGATAGCTGTAGGCTGCTTGAAGGGGGACCATAGCAAAGGAGGAATGCAGTGAATTTCATGCAAATTCTGCAAGAGGCAATAATTCAGTCCAATTGTCCTTCCAGTGAGAGACATAGCAGCATGCGTACTGCTCAAATAATGTGTCTTCTCCAGTTTTCCATTTGATGCTGCATTATGAGTGGATGGCAAATGAATACAAATGCCCAGTAATTGAAAAAGGGATTTCCAAAACCTGGATGTAAATAGAGACCCACAATTCAAGATCATGTAATTACTCAGCCCTTATACCAAAAAAATCATGATCTAGAAAGAGCTGAGCAGTCTCCTGAGCCAATGGTAGTCCTTTGGGAGGAATAAAATGAGCCAACTTGGTAAACAAATCCACTACCTCCAAAATGATTGTGTAATTTTATACAGCTGAAAGATTAGTAACAAAATTCAGGGAATCGTGTCCCATGGATCAGGAGAGGATGGGAGCAGTTGAATTAAACTGGCCAATTTATCAGTGACAGCCTTAGTCTGCTGACATATATGATAGTATGACACATAGTCCATAATACCCACTCTCATCCTTGGCCATCAGAACTCTCTGAGCGCCAGATGCAACATATTAAACAGGTCACCATGCCTGCAGTCTTATTGTTATGAACAAGTTGCAAAACGTATTACCTGAGAGGAAGGGAAGCATATAAACAACCATTATAAAATAATTGCCCTTCATAAAGTCATAGAGAAAGGAAAAGAATCTTTCTATGGAGGTCATCCACCTGAGCCCTGACATATTGATCTTGTTGTTGCAGTCTAATCCAATCCAATAGATCTACTGCCTGCCTCCCCAGTCTTTCAGGATTGCCTTTTCTGGGGTAAGAGGGACAACACTATTCTCAAAATCATGGTGAAGGGTGATGACAAGGGAAAACCATATTCAGGCTTATGTGAGAGTACATCTGCCAGCCTGTTTGGTGAGCCAAGAACATAGATGATATAAAAATTGAAATAGGAAAAATATATGCTACCTCATCTGATGTGGAGTAAGGGTCTAAGCTTCTCAGGTGCTGCAAATTCTTGTAAACTACATGTACCTCTACTGGATAGATTGTACCCTTCAAGAAATGCCTCCTTTGCTGAAATACTACTTTTATGGCCAGCAACTCTTTTATTGAAAATATCATAGTTCCATTAAACTCAGAGAAGAAGTCCAAAATGAAACTACAAGACAAGAGAATCTCCCCACTGTGAATCCTGAAGGAGAACAGATCCCAAGGCAGAGTCTGAGGCATCCATTTGCACAACCAAAGGGTGGCTGGGATCCAGATGGTGGAGTAGAGGTGGAAGGAGGAAAAGACTTTCAGATCCTGAAAAGCTGCTTGCTCTTGAGCAGATCATTTGAATGTATAACCTTTTTTCAGAAGTTGACAGAATGGTTCTACGAGTTCTGCAACATTAGGGATGAAATTTGTACTGTATAGAAATTGGCAAAGCTCAGAAAAATTGGATATCCTTCATATTTCTAGGTGCCTGCCATGTGGATTAAACCTATGCAGAATCCATTTATATTCTGCCTATAGATATCTAGTAACCCAGATAGTTCTATTGGGGGATTATCAAACATGCATTTTTCCCACTTAAGAAAAAGCTCTAAAACATTTCTGACATAAACCTCATGCAAAGATGGGTCTTCTGAAAAAAGACCAGGATGTCATCCAAGCATTTCATACTTGTCCAGAATATCAGAAAATATTTCATACATTAAATCTGCAGAAGACCGCCAGACAATTAAGCAAGGCAAAGGGCATTACTGTGTATTTAACTTTGCCATACTTGGTGTCAAAAGCTGTTAAATATTCATAGCCTTCTTTCATGGTGATCAAATTGTAAGCGCCTTTCAAACACAGTTAGTGAAAATGTGTGCCTTCGGAAGTTGGTCCATCAGATCTAAAATAAGAGGCAATGGGTAGTGATGCCTAATGGTTCCAGAGGTAAGTCTATAATAATGCACAGAGATCCTGCAAAAGTGCTATTGACACTTTTGAGAGGGAAAAGTAATTGTCCTTTGCTTCCAGTGGATTCCGGATTATAAATTTGCAGCCAGTCTATACCCAATGCTATGGAAACATATAAGGAAACTGTGATTTAGCCTGGAAAGGGGCAGTGAATTCTGTATGATCAT